ACGTGGTTGAAAGCTTCACCAAGAAGAGGTAGATTGAAGGAGGTAGAGGAGCTTGACGCTGCCTTGTTTGCTAGAAAGCAATTATTCATTACAAAAAAGACTGATGATGAGGAGAAGGTGGAGAACGTGGCTGAGACTTTTGTGCATGAGATTGAACAAGGTACTGGGGGTGAGGGTGAGGAGCTTGCTGCTCTAAATGCTAGCCCATCTAGTTGCGTAAATAGTAGTTTGGTGGAAGCTGTTGCCGCTTTGAGTGAGGAGCAGGGGAGGGGATATGGAATAAGTGGAGAGATGCATGTACCTGGGAAATTTGTTATTAGGGTGGGAAGCAGTGAAGGGAAAAAAGTGCATAAAAAAGTGAGAAAAATATTGAGGGTGAAAGGGGTCAGTGGGGAGAATAGGATGGAGGTAGAGGGGAATTCGGAGTTGGAAAGAAAAAGAGGGAGGGGGGTGGAGTCTTGGGGGGGGGGGGGGGGGGGATGAAGGTGTGACTAAAAAAAGCCAACTGTTCGAATGATTTGATTGGATTGCGATTGGTGGAGGCTATCGATGAGCAGCCCCACCGAGCTCAATGAGCTTACTAACTCTAAACTGTAGAGGGCTGGGCAATCCCTTTGTAGTTCAGGGTCTTCAAGATCTAATCCGAAGAGAGGTCCCGTCGATGATTTTTTTATCAGAGACGAAACTTAGTTGTATGGAGATGAGAAAAGTACAAGAAAGATTGGGTGATTTTAATGGGTTAGTAGTCGATTCGGTGGGGAGATCAGGTGGGTTGGCTCTTATATGGAGAAAGGAAGTGGTTGTGAATTTGCGCTCTATGTCCGTTCACCATATTGATGTAGAGGTAAATAGTGGTCTGGTGGAGGATGGGTGGAGACTCATTGGCTTCTATGGATGGCCTAAGGTTCATAATAGACATTAATCTTGGAGCTTGTTGAAGGATCTTTTCTCGCAATCAGATCTTCCTTGGGTGTGTATTGGTGACTATAATGAGATTTTGTTCCCTTTGGAGAAAGCGGGTAAGAATGATAGAGCAGAATGGCAAATGACTAATTTTAGGGGTGCGGCTAATTTTTGTGGATTGAGAACCATAGCTTCTTCGGGGTACGATTTTACTTATGATAATTAATGGGAGAGAGGGGGGAGAGAATACGCAATGTAGGCTTGATAGAGCGATGGCTGTCGAGGATTGGATGGGTTTACTTCCGAAGGCACATGTGATTCATATTGATAGAGAGTGGTCTGATCATGCTCCGATCAAGCTTCTCTTGAGGGCTCCACAAAATGACAAGCTTGGGGATAAACCGTTTTGCTTTGAGCAATTTTGGCAAGCTAATGATGGATGTGAAAATGTTGTAGAGAATGCGTGGGTTGGAGGGCTGTCGTTGGAGTCCAAATTGAGATTGTGTGCTCGGGATTTGAAGGAGTGGAACACTCGTACTTTTGGAGCTACCTTCCGGGAATTGAGGAAAAAAAGAAAAAAAATTGAAAAAGCTCAATGGTGCAGTGGGAAGCTAACGGCTGCTCAATTGTCTCGAAGGGCGCTGCTACGTGTTATAGCTGGGTTAGTGCAGCATGAAGAGGTTTTCTGGCGCAGCGATCTCGAGTGCTATGGCTTGAACATGGTGATAGGAACACAAAATTTTTTCACCAACGTGCTTCAAGTCGGAAGAGAAAGAATACGGTTAAGAGTTTGAAGGATGATGATGATGTTTGCCATACTGGAGATGAGGCAGTGGGATTGGTAGCTACAAATTATTTTCGTAGCTTGTTTGCTACATCGAGGCCGCCAATGATAGAGCAGGTGTTGCATGACTTTGAGGGTAGAGTGACTGAGGAGATGAATTCTATTTTGAGGGCGGATTACCATGAAGAGAGGATGAAGTTCGCGCTTAGCAAAATGCATCTGATTAAAGCCCCGGGTCCTAATGGCATGTGCCCACTATTTTTCCAGCCTTATTGGCATTTAGTGGGCCCTTCGGTTACTAACTCGGTGCTTGCAATCCTTCGAGGTGCACCTATTCCACATTTTCTCAATAAAACATTTATTGCTTTGATCCCGAAAAAGATAATGTTGATAGAATTATGGATTTTAGGCCTATTTCTTTGTGTAATGTGATTTACAAGTTGGTGTCGAAAGTTTTGGCCAATCGGTTAAAAAAGTTTCTTGATGAAATTATATCTGTTAATCAAAGTGCCTTTACTCCGGGGTGTTTGATCACTGATAATATATTGGTAGCTTTCGAGATGTTCCATCATATGAAGAATTCGACACAAAAAGAGGGTTGCTTGGCTTTGAAGTTGGATATGTCAAAGGCTTATGATAAGGTCGAATGGGACTTTTAGATGTTGTGTTGAGAAAATTTGGCTTTGATGCGAATTGGTGTGATCGGGTAATGGATTGTGTACGATCGGTGACTTTTTCTGTTTTGATTAATGGCAAACCTACGGAGGAGTTCTCTCCGAAGAGAGGAATTCGCCAAGGTGACCCAATTTTGCCATACTTATTCATTTTGTGTGCTGAAATTTTTTCTCACTTGCTACGAGGGGCAGAGGAGAGAGGAAGCCTTAGGGGGGGGTAAGAGTTGTTCTTACGGCTCCATCCATCAGTCACCTGCTATTTACGGATGGCTGCATTATTTTCTCTAAGGCGGCAATGCAAGATACTGGGGCAATTCAGGGGGTTCTTGATCAATATGAGTTGTCTTCCGGTCAGAAAATTAATTTTGACAAAACCACTATCTCTTTTAGCAAAGGTGTGCCAGAGATGAGGCGTGTGGAGTTGGTGAATGGTTTGGGTGTTCGAATTGTTGATGTGCATGATCGTTACCTTGGTTACCAACCGTGGTGGGTAGGTCAAAGAAAGTCATTACTAGGGGAGTTAAGGAGAAGTTGTGGAAGAAGCTACAAGGTTGGAAAGGGATTGTGCTATCTAAGGCGAGTAGGGAGGTTATCATAAAGGCGGTGGCCCAACCTCTCCCTACTTATGTGATGAGTGTGTTCAAGTTTCCGTCCTCGTTTTGTGATGAGTTAAGATCGCTTGTAGCTCAATTTTTGGTGGGGTCAAAAGCATGGAGAGAGAAAGATTCATTGATTGTCTTGGAAAAAATTATATTGTACAAAAAAAGAGGGGGGATTAGGATTTCGGGATTTCAAGCTTTTTAATTGGGCATTGATCGGGAAGCGAGCTTGGAGGTTGCTTCTCACCCGGGCAGCCTGCTTGAACAAGTTCTCAAAGGAAAATACTACCCAAATTCGAGTTTTATGGAGGCTTATTAACTAGGTTCGTTGCCTAGTTATACTTGGAGGGGAATTTGGGAGTCAAGGTGGGTGCTCCATATAGGCTTGAGGTGGAGGATTGGTAATGGGAAAAGCATTAATGTGTGGTCGGATCCGTGGATCCCAAGTACGCAATCTGGCAAAATTATATCTCCAAGAGGTGCTGCTAGTGAAGATTTGAAGGTTAGTGCTCTGATTAACCATAATACTCAATGCTGGGATACTACTCTCCTCTCTGAGCTTTTTCTACCTTTTGAGAAGGATAGAATTTTGAGTATTCCACTAAGCAATAGATTGCCCCCGGATCGTTAATTGGGTCTGGGATTTTGAGAAAGATGGAGTTTACTTCGTTCGTTCAGCTTATAGAGCGATCTTTGGAGATGAGTGGAGTAGGGAGGAGGAGTCACCTTCGAATGTGTGCCATTTTTGGGGTAAAATTTGGGATCTAGAGGTGCTTCCAAGGGTTAAAATTTTTGCGTGGAGGGCATGTCACAGTGCTATCCCAACACGTTGTGGCATCAAGCGTCGTATCCAAGACTATGAATCGTTGTGTGGTGTTTGTCAGAGAGAAGATGAATCAACGCTCCATGCTCTTAGGGAGTGTACTTTAGCCCAGGAAGTGTGGTATAACAGCAAGTATGATTGCATAGTGGAGGGTAATTTCTGCTCCTTAATGGACTGGTGGAAATGATGTTTTAAAGAGTTTGATAGAGAGGAAGTGGCAGAAATTATCACCATCTGTTGGCCTATTTGGAGTGCGAGGAACAAGGTGGTTGTTGTGGGAGAAAGCATTGAGCCAAGGAGTGTGTTACATTATGCTATGAAGACTTTCAGCGAGGTAAGGGAGGTGAAGGAGTGTAATGTGGCAGTTGCTAGGGAGGGTAGGGGGCTGCTTCTGCGAGGTGGTTTTTGCTTGCTGTGGGGAGGGTGAAAATTAATGTTGATGCAGGTTTGTTGGGTGGAGTAGGCTCGGGGCTGGGTGTGGTTTGTAGGAGTGACGAGGGGAAGATTCTTTGTTGTGCTGCTATTCAGGGTGCTGAGGTATGGGAGACGAAGGTAGCTGAGGCAAAGGCGGTGTATTGGGGTGTAAAGCTAGCGCGCGAGAAAGGCTTTAGCAATGTCATTGTTGAGAGTGACTGCGTGCAAGTCGTGGATGCGTTGCGTGGGGGGAGGTGTTGGGTGCTAGCTCGTTATATCTTTTGTTTCTTGCTTTGATAGTGTGTCTTGGTCTTTTGTTAAGCGTGGTGGGAATAAAGTAGCGCATGAGTTATCCCATTTCCAACCATGGAGCATTGGCACACGAGTGTGGATTAATGTAATATTATCATGTATTTCAGATTTTGTTGCTAATGATATAATAGTCTAAGCCCATCTTTGGGTTTCTTCAAAAAAATAAATAAATAAATAAATTTCAGGCTGCCCAAAAGTGAAAAAAATAATATTATAATTGAAGTTGGGTTGGCTCGAGCCTCGACTTTGGCCCCAATAATTATTTTCCAGATTGAGCAATTTTCGAGCTAAGCTAGTTTAGACATGATCAACTCTTTTGGTTGATTACTTGATTGTGTTGAAAACTCTGTGCATGCTTTTTGGATAGGAATATTTGAGGAAAAGGGAGGGAAGGGAAAGTGAGTATGTAATACAATTTTCCTTGTGTGAATAAGACATATAGCGAAATGGAAGAGAAAGGAAATTCCCTTTTAATAAACCAATTTTCTCCACTGTAAGAGAGATTTATGAAAATCATCAAACTTTAATAAGTCACATATTCGAGCCAAAAAAATATATAAATTTGAGACTAACAAAAGTTAACACACCTTCCATTTCAAAAGATAACAATAACATTGTATAATTTCCAAGAAAATTTAATTTATGGAAATTCAAATTAAGTAATAGTATCTATCTTGAATGAAGGGAAGACTATTCAATAGCTACAATAAAATTGTAGTTATTGTAATTAGTTTTAATCTTGGCCCTCTAAGAGAGAAAAAAGAAATGACATTTAAAATTTCCCATAAAAGTAAATCATAAGCCAAAGCCACCAAGAATGCCGCCAAGGAAACTGCACAAATTCACTCCAAAATATCATGTTAGCATGCACATATAGGCTTATCCGTTTAGGACATTCTAGTTTACGCCTACATAAAATATATGTTTACTTGACGTACAATATAAACTAATCTTTCTATCTTTTTATTATCATTCATTCCAAGTGATGATGGTAGAAGGATCCTTAAGTCATGTGTGATTTTATTAAGTAAAATCGTTGATTTTATAGTAGGTAAACAATAATTGAATTGACTAAGATATCCTAAACACCAATAATGTAATATATCTCTCTCATATTACCTGTGCTCGGATTATTTGTCTATTTACCTCTTAATATAGAAGAATTTTAGACATAAACTATGTCTTGGGAAATTTGGATGGAGGATATGGGAATTTTTTAAAATTAGGTATAGTTTAAAATTACTTAAGTATACAAAAATTAATGCAAATCATGCACGCATATATCAATGCATGTGTCTCTAGAGAAAACTAAAGCATGATGTTGATATTTTCTTGAGATGTATAAAACTTAATAAAGCAATAATAATAATGCAAATAATTAAATAGATTAGCCAAGTGAATAACTAATTTAATTATATACAAGCAATTACCTGAGGGCGCTAAAACCTTCACTTCCAAAACCAGTGGCTCCGATCCCTCCAATGGCAGCGGCGCTGCCAGTTAATCCACCGGTACCATTCCCCATCATCTCAAGCATCATCTTCACCATATTCGCGACTGTTGAAGTTGTACCACCATTTTGAGGCACATTAATGTTACTATGGTAACTTGGGTAAGTATTACCATAAAAATTAGGACTTATTCCCGGCGTTGTTCCTGTAATTCCTAACATACTCATGTAGTATTGTTGCATCATTTTAGCCTGAGCCTGAGCCTGAGCCTGAGCCTGAGCCATCTGAAGTTGATCACTCATCAAATGATGTTGAAAACTAGCAAGATAATTATTGTAAAACTCTTGTTGGCTATTAATAAATAAGTTATTATTGTTAGCAAAAGTGTAATTATTATTATTATTAGTAGTAGTAAAACCCTCCGATCCTTGAGAATTAGTTTGAGTAGAGTTAAAAGATATATTAGGGTACATCTTTTTTAGCTCTTGTTTAATTTGTTTCAATATTTCTGGAGGAAATCCCTCGGTTTTCTCTAGTTTTTCTACGGCTTCAACAATTGATTTGATCGTTGCTTCGTCGTTGGTTTGTTTGGTGGCTGAGGAATGGGAAGGGGAAGAAAAAGATGATGATCCATATGATGGCCTAGTAGGAGTGGCTGCTGATGAGGAGGAGGAGGCGGTGGAGAAGCCATATGGGGTTGGAAAATTGTTAGAGAAAGGGAACCCTGTAAATCCTGCCATTGGTATATGCACAATTATTACAAGGTTTATGAGATTAATATGTTTAGAGTGTTTGAATATGTAAAGGTTTGAAATTGTAATTTATTTATTTTAATTTTATTTTATGGAAAAGTGGGAAGACTTGCATGAAAGTCAAGTTGACTTATTTGTGTAAGGAGATCGTGGGAGGATGTCGACTTTGTGGCAAGGATTGTTTAATGATAGAGAATACTAATAATAGATTGTAGAGCCAATTAGTGGGATGCATTATACATATTGTGAATATAAACTACTCAATTTGGAGTTTTATTTAATAAACTATTATTGACTTTTATATGATCGTTCTTGACTTTAATAAACTACTAAAAAAAAACGTATTCTAAAATAATGTAACATAATGGGCCTTAGTTAAATAAGTTAGTGGGATCAATTTGTTTAAACGAATTACCTAAAAAAAAAAAAAAATTGATTAACATAGCCCTAAGGCTATGTATAAGAAGCTAAAAATGAAATATTGAAAATAAATTAACATTAAATATACCGATTTGCGTGTGATTTTGTCATGAATTCTCAACTTAATTCCATTTTAGAAAGTATATTTAATGCTTATATATAGTCCCTAAGGGCTACATATATCATTACCCAAGAAAAAAAATTATTAATATATATCTTATTAATGATTATTATCTTAGTTTCCTTAAGCATAATAAATGGAACCGTTATCTCATTTTATATATGGAACCATTTTACTCTGACATTAATATTAGTTAACTAGTAATCCCTCCGTTTCATAATTAGAAGCTATTTCTTTTTATTAATGAGTAATAAATGTAAGAAATTTCATAATTAGAAGCCTATTTCTCTTTATTATATGAATAATAAATGTTAGAAATAGGCTTCTAATTATAAAACGGAGGGGGTAGTATAATAAGAAATAAGTTAGTTAATCTGGAAAATAAAATGCTATCAATATCTTCTCTTTTTAGAAAGCAAATCCTAACTTTTTTTTTTTGAAGCAAGCAAATCCTAACTTAATAATATAAGTTTTATGTGTTAATTATTTAGTTAACCTTACAAAATTGAAATGCTATCAACATAAACTTAAATAATTACGAATTTACGAGCATAAGCTTACAACTACATCCAACAACTTATTGATGGTTCAGCTGTATCATATAAATCCTCCATGAAATCATCATAACCCGAAACATGATACTTCCTAGTAACGAGAGAGTAGAACACGATACCATTTCTTCGAACCCTGGGGAGGTAAATTCTATTCCTTATCGTGTGATCTCTCGATAGTATTGAAAAATATGACACTCGACTAATAAGGAAGCAATGTTTTTGCAAAGAATCAACTTCAACCCAAATTTTCGCCGAGTTAATAAATCTAAATACTCGAACCCAGCTTCCCATCTTCTCAATGAAGACGGAATATAAGTCTCCTACACATTCTAACAGATAAAATGAATAGAGACGACTTTGAAAGGTCAGTGATTTTCCATACACATCCCATTGTGGTTCTCCATCTATTAATCGAAAAACTCCGAGATGCCCTTCTTCGTCTAAGAAATAAACAGCTCTGTCAAGAAAGATGGGAGTACAAATAACAGTCCCAAATCGGGCACAGTCAAATTCTCGACGATGCCATTTTTTGTATTTAGTTATATGGTAGAAGATGCGCGCTTGAGAATCAGTATTATCGATTGCAACAGTCAAACAATTAGGACAAGTTGGATCGGTTGAGAAGCCAATGCTGCAAACGCATACTTCCTAAACGACCACGCTTCAAATTTTGTCTTTCCCCAGTGATGAGATTGATAAATTGGATAGACCGTCGATCAGAAAAGGTAGTGAGTATTAGGAGATAATCTTGTAAATATATTTTGGTTTATCTTTTCCTTATTCTCCTTCTGTTTTGATATGCTTAGTCAATGCTCCTTTATTAGCTCCACCAATTTAGCCATAACTCTAGGCATAGATTAAATAAATAACACCTCCCCTTACCATAGGCTATTCGGTTTTACACCTAATTATCACAAACTTCGTGCATTTGGTTGTCTTTGCTATCCGTGGCTTAAACCTTACACCTCTCACAAGCTAGATCCTAAATCCTTACCATGTGTCTTCCTAGGCTATTCTTCCACACAAAGCGCCTACTATTGTCTACACCCTCCAACTAATCGAATTTATACATCTCGCCATGTAAAATTCGTAGAGGATGTGTTCCCTTATCCTTCTCTTAGAAAATCATCGACTTGCGCAACTCCCTCTACTATTGAGGAATGGGTAAGTATCAACCTTCCCTTATCCACCTCCTGCTCTATCCAACCCAGAGTCCAAGACACTATCCCTCTTCCCTCCTCTTCTACTACTCCCTCAAACTCACTGCACACAACCTCCTCTCCTCCTACACCTTCGCCTGCCTCACCTACACCCACGTCCTCCCCAGTCCCTAATCCCTCCACTACTCTAGCTTCTTCGCCTACTTCCATCGCAACATCACAGGACACCCCCTTATCCGAAACAGAACCCGAAACAGAACCACCTGCCCCCCCCCCTCCATCTCGAACCATTGTCACACGTCTCCAAAACAACATAGTCAAACCGAACAAAAAATATGCCTATCCTACAACCACAACCAGCCCCCATACTGAACCTATAACCATCACTCAAGCACTCAAAAACCCGCAATGGAGAGCTGCAATGCAAGCTGAATTTGACGCGCTAATAAACAACCAAACCTGGGTGCTTGTTCCGCCTACTGACACACCCAACTTGGTGGGTTGCAAATGGGTATACCGTGTTAAGTACAAAGCAAATGGAGAAGTAGAGCGGTATAAGGCTCGTCTTGTAGCCAAAGGATTTTTGCAACGTCCGGGTATTGATTTCTCGGAGACGTTTAGTCCAGTGATAAAACCATCTACTGTGAGGTTACTACTTTCTTTAGCAGTTTCGAGTGGGTGGTCAATTAGACAACTCGACATCAACAATGCCTTTCTTCAAGGCACTCTTCATGAGGATGTTTACATGGCCCAACCTCCGGGTTTTATTGACAAAGACAAGCCTAATCATGTGTGCAAGCTTAGAAAAGCAATTTACGGTCTTAAACAAGCACCTCGTGCTTGGTACACTGAGCTTCGCACATATCTTCTTTCGGTTGGGTTCAAGAATTCTATTGCCGATCCTTCGCTATTTCTATAAAATTGCAATGGGATTATTTATTATTTGCTTGTTTATGTTGATGACATAATTGTTACAGGTCCATCTCCTAATGCTCTTCAACAACTGATCAATACTCTTGCCTCACGGTTCTCCTTGAAGGATTTGGGGCCTTTGTCCTACTTTCTAGGTGTTGAAGTACTTCCTCATGATCATGGTCTGTTTCTAAGTCAACATAAATACATTGGGGACATTCTTTCTCGTGCGAATATGTCAAATGCGAAGCCTGTCTCCACTCCAATGGTGGCACATCCACCCCTATTTGCTGATTCAGGGTCACCATTGTCCAAGCCTTCCGAGTATCGTGCCTTCATTGGGGCTCTTCAGTACTTATCTCTGACTCGTTTGGACGTTGCATTCGCTGTGAATAGACTATCACAATTCATGCACTGTCCCACAGATATTCATTGGGCGGCACTTAAGCGTTTACTTCGATATCTCAAGGGAACAATTGACCATGGCTTAACTCTTCATCGCCACTCACCCATGATCCTTCATGCTTTCACTGATGCGGATTGGGCTGGTGATAAAGACACATTCCTTTCTACAACTGGGTATATAGTATATTTGGGAAAGAATCCGCTTTCCTGGAGCTCGAAGAAACAACAAGGAGTTGCAAACTCATCCACAGAAGCTGAATTTCGAGCTGTTGCATCCACTACGGCAGAAGTGCTCTGGCTTCTTTCTTTGCTCTATGAATTGAGAGTTAATTTGTCTGCCAAACCAGTTATCTATTGTGACAACTTAAGTGCTGTGAGTTACTCTAAGAACCCGGTTTTTCACTCAAGAATGAAGCATTTGGCACTTGCTTTTCATTTTGTTCGCGAACAAGTCCAGCTCGGCTCTCTACGCATACAACATATTAACGGTGATGATCAGCTAGCCGATGCTCTTACGAAGCCCCTAGCACTTGCTCGGTTCTCTTTGTTACATTCCAAGATTGGCCTTGTCTCACGACAGTCCATCTTGAGGGGGCGTATTAGGAGATAATCTTGTAAATATATTTTGGTTTATCTTTTCCTTATTCTCCTTCTGTTTTGATATGCTTAGTCAATGCTCCTATATTAGCTCCACCAATTTAGCCATAACTCTAGGCATAGATTAAGCTAATGTTTTTACTTAAGTTGTTAAGTTTGTATTCTATATATACGGCTATCAAAGCCTTGTGAAATCAATCAAGAAATTATATTTTCTATATCTCTTATAGTGAGGAGCCAGCCATTCTTGGAATAAAAAAGGGTAAAAGGGTGTGGAATTAATTGGAGAGTACTCGAGTATGAAGTACCCCGGCATGGATCAATTAGTCCCCATGATCCACCATTGTTCGTAAATAACATGACCATTGGGAACACGGTGTTATTGGTGTGACTTCTCCATTGACGCGGAGGACATACTGATCGAAAAGATGTGCAACTTGCTCGGAAATTCCAATAATCAAATAAGTGCATATGCTTTGAAATCAACTCTATCAAGTGTAGAGGAAGCTTAGAGACCCAGCTTTCGTGTTGTATCATTTGATGATGCGACAACTCAGGGTCTTCGTATTTCTTCAATTCCTTTTCTGTTGGTAACCTGAAAAAAAAAATTTAAAATCCAAACATCAACCTAGCAAAATTTCATCAATTCAAGAAAGATTGATTAATTATCGTGTATCACTAACCTTTGATGTCGTGGAATAAACCATACAGGGTGGCTGCTAGGCCTTAATGAGCTCGAACAAGACCTGAGTGTCATAAAACTATTATCAAGTAGGTTGTACATGTACGTGTAAAATTGTTTATCTTTTATAGATTGATGACAAAAGTAGATACAATTCCGCTGGATACCTCCTCTTGATTCAGGCGCGTTTATTGTTCCCCAACACCAAGTACAACAATTAGGGCCTAGGAAAAAAGCTCTGCCGTGCAAAGAATTAATCTGCCTCCAGTTTTTAGTAGTGGAGAACTGAAGATACGAGATTTAAGGAAGTTTTGTTGTGTTTTGGAAACAAAAAGTTTTGTTCATATCTTGCTTCCTAGTTTCTTAGCTTGAATTTTACTTATTCGGTTACTCCCCAAGGCTTTGTACTTTCCGCTAGTTTAGTGAAGTCAATTGACAATATTTTCCAAAACTTTATCAATTAGATTGATACTCGGTATTTCTCTAAAAAAAAAAATAATAAATAAAATAAAAAAGATTGATACTCTGTATTTTGGTATGG